GACAGGCTCATGGCTAACATTTTCCTTCTTTTTGCCAAGTCCTGGCCTTGAATTCCTCTTCTGCCATCTGGTACAACTTCATTGTTAATTTTGACATTGTTCCTACCACTCTGCTGAGTTTGGTGCTACCTCAAATGTCCTGCAGTTTGGAGGATGTCTCTCACCATGACACTGTGTGTCATTATAGAATCGTCTTACTCAGGCGTTCTCAGCTTCTTGTATTGCCCATAGAGTTTGGCATTTTCTTTGCCACTTCTGCATAATCATTCATTTTTCTGCCAATGCTCTGTGAAATATTGTCCCCTGCTAGGCACAAGCTTTCTGTGCACCAGTCTGTCATCTGCCTGTTGACCTTTTCTCTTCTACTTGGAATGGTTATGCAATTACCTAGCTATGCCACGAAGAGATATATTTTCCTCTCCATTTTGCTTTTACTATTGATCTCTTGATTTTTACTTTTGTTGCTTTGTCTTCTACCATCTTCCCAGGGGGAAGGAATTCTGCTCAAAGTGTGATTTGGTACCAAAAGTTAAAAAATTTGCTTGCTGACTGTAAAAATTTGCATGTATTTTGTGCAGTACTTTGTAAGAGTCAGCTTCTAGAGCCAACCTGACTATCCTGCCTTCCTGTAGTTGCCAAACATTGCACTCACCTTCAGGATCAGTACCCTGCTTCCATTTGTCTCTGAGCCAGCAAGACTACTTGAAATCATGAGCATAGCCTAGGGACCCTTGATGCATTGGAATATGTCTTCAGTGACAGAATGTACGCTCAATCTCTGCCAGTCATACCAGCCCCATGAAAAAGCCATCCCTGTACATAAGCAGCTTCTCCCGCTCTGCTCTGGCAGAGTCTGTTTTCCAAAGGCATTTTGTGCAGGGTACAGTTTCTGCAGAAAACATACAGAAATGTGAAACCCAGGGTACAGAACTTGCTCAAGTAGATCTGACTGGCCACCCCTTTCTGCACTAAAATCTCATTGCCAAATCATATTCTACTACTTACAATGCCTCAGCATATGGATGAATTCTAATTATGGCAATAAAATGCATGGACATACAAATATACATTATTCTTCACATAAAAGACACCAAATGTACACAGTTTACTCCTTTGCCAGGCAGAAACTGAAAGCTACAGTCTTTTAAACATTCTAGCTTCTGTCCCTAAAATATATTGCTAATAGAAAGGAAAAAATATCTTGATAAAAAAAAATCTTAATAAAAAAAAAGAGGGGGAGGGCAAGGTGATACCTGAGAGAAGTCAAAATGGTATTTCAGGTCTCTGGGTCTATTTTGAGGAAGAAGTCCAATTTTCATGAAATCTGTCTCAAATTTGGTTGCTTTGCCACAAGGGCTAGAATGCAGTGTTTCTGAGATATGTAAGATTTCAAAAGATTTTGATCAACTGTCAGTGATCAACTAGCGTCAGTGTAACCCTAGCAATGTGTCAAAAAATGGAAATGAGATAAATTCATCTGTAGTTAGCGGATTAGGCACATCCAACAGCACAGTGGGATATGGCAATATAGAACTATATGCAAATGTGGAAATCAGATGCCTGGGTTATAAAAGAGCATGTTTGTGTAACAGGCCCTTTGACGTTTCCCAACATTGCTGTTTCTTCTGGCTACCTCTGCTTTGGAGCTACTATTTTGCCAGGCCAAGGAGTCTACAAATACTGAAAGGCTCAGAAGCTGCCATTAAAGCTCTGCTGTACAATAATGCTTCTCTAATTGTAGCTGACTAACATACATGGTAATGATCTGGGAAAAGTATGTAGAGCATTTCCATCCTAACCCTAGTCTCCAAATATAGAAGTCAAACCTGCTATGTGACTGAGATAATGAAAAAATTGCCATTTTGCTGGACAGAATGAGGATAGGGGAAATGTATGGGGGCATACCAAGAAGCTGTTATTTGCCACAAGAAAAAGGTTAGCTATGCAGATCTCTGTGTCAAAGTAGGAAAATTCTGACTAGAAAAGGAGATTCTTAAGCATTCACAAGACTGATTGATTGAACAAGTGGATTCTGTAGCTTTGTAGTGCTGAGGAAAAGCAAAGGTGAACTACCAGGAGAGGTCCAGCCCAAGGCTGCAGAAGAAGCTGGACAGTCCAGTGGTCAGCTGAAAAAGACAATGCAAAGACATAAGAAAGCCCAGGAGGACAGACCTGTAAGAAATAAGAGTTTAAAGAAAACCTATAGGGGTTTTTAAATGTTGATTTAAAACCAGTATATAATCCCATGCAGCTGACACTGCTGGTATCAAATAAGCAACCAGGCTAAGCTCACCATGCCCTCGTCATCACTAGAGGACCCAAAAGTAGGGCTTCCTCTCATTTCAGTGAATGTTGTTTCTGTTTCCCACTAGTGAAAAACACAGCCTGATTGAAAATATTTCTTTGCAAATGCTATCATTATTTTAAACCTTCTGCATCAAATTCTTTTTGTACTCAAGTAAATACTGAGTAATAACAATTTACTCTGATCCTATATGAAATAGTGAAGGAAAAGAGGTTTAGCTGTAACTCATGAAGGTAGTTTATCTCATAGAATCAGAGAAAAGCTATTGCTGCAAAAAGGATTTTAAAGGTTCTTATAGCCACAATATGAAACCTATTCCTCCATAGCATTCAAACCCTTCTGCTTTACTATTAAAGATAATACCGCATAAATACAACTTAATCCAGGCATCTGAGCTTCCTTCTGCAACATATGTATGATCTTTCCATTTTTATACACAACAAATCTGATAAACAGAGATTATATAAAGAGAAATCATTGGAGCATTACAGCATGAGTATAGCACAGACTAGTTTCCTTCTTTTCAAGTAATCCCAACATATACAGACAGAGGAGTCTAATAATTAGAAAAAGAAATACTTCTGTTAGGAAAAAGAAAACAATGTTAAAAAATTCCCTGACTTTGAACATACTTTACTTTGTGCTGAATATTTTGAAATGCTTATGTTTCTAAAAGCTCTTTATCACTAAAGAAACCAAATTTCTGCTTTATTTTGCTGCCTTGTTGTTTCTTTTTTTAATAAACAATGCGACCATCTCTTTCTCAACAACCCGTTCAGCTCAAAAAAAAACCAAACAACTAAGAGTAAAGAAGGTAAGGAGGAACAGAAATAGGAATATTTCTTAGGATTAGGAGTAAAAACAAAATCCAAAAAGTATTTGGGACAAAATAATCACAGATAACCAAACTCTTGAATGCCCACTACTCAGGGACATAGGCACAGGGAGAAACAGGGTGCAGACACTGATGCTGGTACCAGAAAACACAAGCCACAGAGCAGTAGAGATTTGTCAGTAAAGACCTTTAAAGACCTGTGATGAGTCAGATATGACAGCCACTTGAAACATAATCCTGAGGAAGAGCACCTAGCTTTCTTGTGAATGCATTCTGACAAAGTTTAAAGTGCATTGTTTATTCCTCTAAGCACATATTGTTTATTCCTCTAAGCCTGAGAAACACAGGAACATACAAATGCATTACTAAGTAAGTGGAATGTCCTGAAACATACAAATAATTGAACTAATAATCCTGTGGTCCTCTATATAGCTATCATCTGTATTTCTTACACATAATTAAAACCAAGCAAATAATGATGATTATTTTGCTGCAAGATGTAATGCTGAAAGGACTGAAACAGGGAAAGGTGTGGTGTGGTGCAATTCCAATAGGAGAAGGAAGACTGAACAGAGGCACTCTGCTAGCCCTGCCCACTGGAAAAATCTGGCTCTGAGGAGATGTAGCAACCAGGCATACAGGCAGAAGTGGACAAAATGAAGGGCACTTAGGAAGGTAAGTATCTGCAGTTCAAAGCTATTTCACTAACCTTGCAAAGTTGCCATCACAGTTGTTCTCCCAGAGCAGAATTTTCTAGTAACTTTCTAGTTTATTTATAACACAAAATGGCTAAAGCCAAATGAGTCTGTATAAAGAATGAAAAATCTCAGAAGCAGTTGGGACCAGACATGCAGGGCAGGCATGAGCAAGAGGCATAATACAGAGCCCTATGGCTACCCGTGAGGGGAACATGAGGGTCCCTGAAGTCTTGCATGGTGGCTTGCTAAGGAGAAATTTCACATGCTGCTTCCCAGCTTTCTTCAAAGAGCTGGAGAAACTGCCATACCACCACATTTCCTGTCTGCAGGCAGTAAGGCATAGGATGAGCTTTCCATATTGAGTTAATGTGCTGACTTAACAGAATAGAGGGTGTGAGATGAGAGCATTGGCCCATCTATTAGTATGAGCCTGTGTAGCTGCATGGTTATTTCCAGGGCTTGCTGGAAACCCACTACTGGGCTGTTCTGAGAGGCCACAAGCATCCGCATGGCCCTTGCAGAGATTCCAAACAAGGCTGGAAGGAAATATCAGTCAGTCCAAAGCTCAGGAGGCATGTGTAGCTTCTTCACCACAGAAAATTGCACTCATACTAAGGACACAGAAATGCTGTGTGATGGATGTGGCCAACCTCAGTGCTGGATACAAGTTCTTAGAGATTTTACCACCACCTATATCAGGTGCCATGGTCTCCTTACAGCACTCAGCATTTACCAGGATAGCTCTAGGCAATGTTGAAAGGGGTTATAAGCATTATGAGACAACCAACCAACTAGACAGGACAGTACACTTCTCTGGAAATGGGACATTATGCAGTGCTCCCTACTCTTGCAGCATTGCCATCTGCAAGTGAAGGCCAGGGTTTGCTCAAATTAGTTCTCTAGCCAGGATGTACAAAATGTCCTACAGACCCACTTCAAACAAAACATCTGTGAGCACTGTGTCTGGAAATGAAAGCCTGAGAAAGGGGCTCCAGTTGGTATTTTGAACGACGCGGGTTTTATTCATTATACACTAAATTCCTCTGGGGCTTTGCTGACTGCCAGAGTAAGCCCCTGAAGAGGGAGATTTACACAGGTATTTTGATAGCAGACTCAAACCCCCTATTTACTACTCAGTAGCTCAGAGCAGAAACGCTAAATTACCACTCCAAACCTCCTCCTCCCGGACAAATCTCTACTCTCTGGCATAGAGAAAATGTGTTTCGTAGTTCCAGATAACGATTCATTTTGGGACTAAGATGTGACGCCTCCCCCCAGTCCAACTGAGCCGCCAGCGCGCTGCAGTGGCCCCTGAGGTCCGCGGAGGAGGGTGGTAGCAGGCAGCAGCTGGCCCCGACGCCTGCCTCCTGCCGAGTTGCTCTTGCTCCATCCTACAAGAGCAGAGGACAGCGCGTCCCGCAGCCTGCAGGTGTCTCCCAGCGGAGACAGCTGCGGAGCCCCTTGGGATCATGTGTGGTACCAGAGCAGATGTTCGCTTGCTCTTGGTGCTCTTTGTGAGACAGACCCTCTCTGATCCTGTCAGCGCGCTGAAGCACACCGACTACAAGAGGACGGCCGCACTCCCGCGCCTGCAGCTGCTCCTTTAACGTACAAAGGCAGGATTTCAAGTGAAGAGAAGAATGGGAGTCTGGCTGCAGCGTTTCTTTCATTGCTACAATAACAGATTGGAAGAAGCTGAGAGTTTTGATGCCTGGACAACTGGATTCTGAATCGTGAGAGGCTTTGGCCCCCCTCCCCTCCCCACATAAAACAAGCCCCTTTGACTTCTTCTCTCAGCAGGAGGGGGAGGGAGGGCGGATTTACCATGAAGACAAATCGAAGATGCAGAGCCCTGCTAGCAGTGAGTCTGAATCTGATGGCTCTCCTCTTCTCTACAACAGCTTTTATCACGACCCACTGGTGTGAGGGCACACAGAGGGTCCCCAAGCCGAGCTGTGGGAAAGAGAAGAAGACAAACTGCCTCAACTACAGCGGGAATGAGACTGCAAATGAGACAAACCAGAATGTGGTTCATTACAGCTGGGAGACTGGAGACGACCGCTTCCTTTTCAGGTATTTCCACACTGGGATCTGGTACTCATGTGAGGAAAATATCAATGCTGCTGGTAAGTATAAAATAACTTCCTTCCAGCTTGTGTTGCTTTGTGTTTGGCTCAGTGTGATAAACACACAGGCAAGCTGTTCTGTGTTGTATCTTAAAGCAGATTCACCCTGAAGAGAGAGGCAGGATTTTAACAGTTCTTTGTTGAAAACCAACCTGTTTCCAGCGAGAGCAAAGATTTGCTTGTTTACCTGCTGGCTGATGCAGGATCTGTGCTCTGAAGCCAGATGAGCCTCTTATAAGCAGTATGTGCTACCCCCATGGGCACTGCAGCCAGACTGGTCAGTGCTTCCCTTCTGGGAGCTGCTCCATGGAGCGCACAAAGAACAGTGGCTGGTAGTTGTTAAGGAGGTTCTGACATCTAATTGTAATTGCCCCTGAAATAACCTAGGACGGTGTCTGAACTACAGGGAAAGCACAAATGTCACAGTTTTTATCATGCCGTAGACTGGACTGCCTGTTTTCTGTTATCTCTTAAACAAATGACCACCCATAATCCCTTCCTGGTGGCTGAATTGCATGTTTATTGAAGGAGAGTAGTGAAATGGCAGTTAAAGGGCACAACCGGGCACAAGAAGGCTCATTCCTGTTACCCACTCAGTCATTTACTTGCTGGGAACTGCTCAAGAAGATGTCTCTTCAGCTGTTCAGAGTATTCATTTCCTCTGCTGTAGCCTGGCACTTCTACCAGGAGTAAAACACTGGAGGGTGGTTGGGAGGTAGCAGCCATGGGACTGATTTAAGTCTCACCAGATGCAAACTGACAGTCCCTACTCCCAGAGCTGTCTGGTAGAGCTAACATCCAAACTCTGCTTTTAAAAGAGCTTTTTTACTAGATTATATGAGTGGAAAACAAAGTTTACAGATGTTACACAGTGTAAAATGGTAATGGCTTGTGTCATTGCCCAAAGAGCAGACTGGGGAGTTGATTCTTTACCACTGTTGGGAGAGGGAAACAGTTAATCATCCTACATGTTGTGTCTCTGAGGACATAACCTCCCTGATAATGAAAAGTCTATGAGATCATGGTAAAACTTCTCTGTAAGGATGTACTATAAAGCAAGGCAAACTTGGGGAGAAGCTCACAGTCCATTTCATCCCAAGGCGCTGTGTATATTCACTATTATTTTTGTGGATAATGCTTCAAGAATTAGTTGGTCATTAAAATCCATTTTAATGTATGGAAATGCAAGTTGATGAACTTCAGCCTTGGGACTGTCAATAAACTGTACCATGCTGAAATGAGGGCACCAAAGTAACTGTCTTGATGTTAGAAAAAAACTACAGAAAACAAAGATGATTTGTCTCACTGCTTTAGAAATAAACATAGGCCACAGCAGCCTGAGTAAGCAGCTTAATGCTCTGACTTCTTGAGCATCTTAGCTGGTATTGGGACAATTAAGCATGCCCAAATTTCTGGCAGATATTGAAAGCTTTCCAAGCCAAGATGTATGTGTGAGATAAGTTGTAACTGTGTGACTCTAGCCCACTCAGAAAACTGAGTTATATGTGGGAGAAGAGAAAAACAGTGATCTATTCTGTACTAGGTAAACAAAGCTGTGCTGTAGTGGGTGATTTCAGGAGATAGCTGGAAGCCAGCTTTAGAAAGTTATGGTGAAAGCAGGAGCGAAGGCGTTGTTTCTCCCTCCTCACTCCGCCACAGCAGGCACATGTGTGTTTCCTCTTATTTGGAACACTAAGTTCGTGAAAAGTACTCTTCAGTTAGCAGACCAGAAGTGACCAGCCTTTGGAAAGAATCCAGCCAGCTACAGGAATGTATCGGCTTAAACAGTCAGCTGCCTCATTCAGGATTTACCACAGTTATTTTCTGGTAAGGAACAATGTAATGGGCACAGATGTAAATTTGTCCCTGAGACTGTCAGCATAAAATAACCATGAAAGGTCTTAATTCAGACTTATGGGTTTGTAATACCAGACTGTCAGTTCGTTATTATGGCCTTTTGCAACCTGACTGGTGATCTCTTTACCTGACTTCCAGGGTAAGGAGGCACCAGGCAGCCTCAACCAGCAGCACTGAGATCATGCTTATACATACGCTCTGATGCTCAATGTATCTGTTTGTAATGCGCCCCATGGGCTCATCACATTTTCCACAGCACACTTACTGATCACAGTCCTGTAGGTATCGCAAGTCATACAGTCATCATGTTGGTAATTAATACCCTAGGATGCCAAGAGAACACCCAGAAAACAGCACGAAGCACACAAATACTCATGTGTTAAACTAATCAAAATCCCTAGCTTGAATGCACGCTATACTTTCAATGTCATCTTTCTCAAAGCTTTACCAATAGAGTACTGAAAGTGACGGCAACAACAGCCTTCTTCCAGGCAAAGTCCTTCTGAAAGCCACTCCAAAGCCTCACGCCTGTTTCAGTAGAACCTGTGGCTACAGCCTATGGTCAGCAGCATTCCTCCAGCTCCTGACCTATCTGTGATTCCTCACTGCCAATGTCTGAAGCTAAGCAACATGAATCCCACCAGGAACACATGAATGCCAGTAACACTCTCTGTGATTGCAATGCTATCAAAACCTTCCAGAGACTCATAACTTTCCCAGCTGTAAGCTACATTCTTCATCTACCCATCAAGCTTTTGACTTCTCTCTCTCCCTATAGTCACAGTGCTGTCAAAACTTTCTGCTCCCTGCACTGGTGCAGCTGCAACGCAGCTGATCTTGTAGTGCAGACTCAAGAGGACCAGTTCCCAGAGGGTTGATATTGCAAGAGCCAGCACTGCAGGGCTTCCAGTTGTTTGGAGTGGCTGGGAGTCTATCACACTTTAAAGTGACATTTAGGCTGCAATCAAATGAATTTTGAGTGCCCTCTCCTCCTGCTCTTTATCTGAAATATCCATTTAGATTCCAGATGTTGAGGTGCAAAAGGCATGCCGTCTACTCTGTGCAGAGACTAACAAAGTGGGACTTCATCTTGGGGCAGGTTTCTAGTTTTCACTGACATCTCTAAAAGGGATTGAGTGCTATGATTAGTTCTGAAATAATTTGCAAATCTAAAGTTTACTTTTATTCATCATGCCTAGGAAGATAAAGAATCCAAAAAGCATTTAGTACCTGAGAAATAGAATTGTGAATCCCCTCTGGGAATAGAGGGACTGGAGCATATTCATTTAATTAGTGGGTATGTCCTCTAATTATTTAGCACAATTTCTAACTCAAAAGTATGCTGAATCCCAGTCTATCAAACAGAGGATGAAGGCTCTCCTTTTCAGAGTGGGTTCATGCTTTGGATCCCACACGGGTGGAGGCACCTTTTGTACAAGCAATGCACCTGAACTCTGAAGGTACATGAAGATAGAGCATGTGCTATGAGCTTTGTAGACTGTGCTGGTTATGAGTCCTGTTCTGCAGTTACACGCTGCACGGGGCACTTGATGCTTCCTCCTGGCTCATGAATTCCTTGTCTATGGCCAAGCGCCTCTGGCCGAGCTCTCTATAATTTAATTTATTTTTGAGTATGACTTTGAGTGCAAATCTTGTTTCACACCTGCAGCCTAGGTCTGTGCTTGTGTCAGTCCTCGACACCCCAGAAGATACCAGACAAGTGATGTGCCACAAGAGTGGCAGTGGTAAACTATAGTTTCTGTGACTCAAGAACATATATGCGATGAAAAAATAAACACATGGAGTAGGTAATGGGGCATATCTTCTCCTAACACGTAGAGGAGTTTCAGAGCTGGGAAACAGTAACAAGGTAGCTGAGTTTTTTCAATAGTGTGTTTGCTTTGATTTTAATAGAAAAAACCTATGAACTCAGATCTTGTTTAAACAAGATCTTGTTTAAACTTAAGTTACTAATGAACAGTCTCAGCAATAACATCCCCATTCAGAGGGAAAAGCAGCTGCCTAGGTGCCTTTTAAGAGTACTATCCAGTTGAACAAAAAACAAGCCTTTCCCTGTTGTTCACCATGCTCCATAGAAGCCAGGGAGATCAGAAATGGGTATGCATAGGCTTGTTTTGTATTCTTGGAATAATGTTTTGAGGCTAAGGGGTCTCTTTGTATGCTCTGTATCATATATTCCTTAGCACTCTTCAAGAAGTAAAAGGTAGAGTAGAATTTAGATGGTATGTAAGGATGCATCAAAATGTGCCATAAATACGGACATTAAATGCACATTTGAGAAGGAGCCAGAGAACAAGAGAGGTGTATCTTGCAGGAATGAATAAATCTGTGACATAGAAAGACAAGAACTAGCCATACATTGTCACAAATGCAGAGCGGTACTGCATAACCCTTCTTCCCTGCCACCATGGGATAATAAGCATATGTGATTCACCATAGGCTTCTGTCCAGAGAGAGAGATCAGGGAGAAGCACCTTGTGAGTATATAATTAAAAGCAAGAGGAATTGGGAATTCTTGCTAGATTATGAGAAATACAATATAATTGGCATGACTGAAACCTAGCGGGTTTATTTGCATGACTGGAATGCAAAAATTGCTACTTATAAATTGTGTAAGAAGGAAAAAGTGGTAAAAGGAATTGAGTAGGTAGAGCTCTATATTAAAGATAAAATTTCCAGTGATAGAGGAACTGAACCCAGGGGGCCTGGATAATCTCCATCTGAGGATGTTGAAATAATTGGCACATGAAAATACAGGGCTAGTAGCAAGAATCTGCACATTGCTGTATTCAAAGAAGACTGGAAAAAAATGATACAGGCGACTTGAAGCAGCAACCTTAGGACAGTTTTCAGGGACAGCACAACAAATGGGTTTTATCAAAGGCAGAGTTTTATTAAAGGTAAATCTTTTAACAAGATGAATCACTTCTTAGACAAGGGTAATAAACTATACCCAGTCTGTACGGATTTACAGAAAAGCATTTGATGGAATGTCCCACTGAAAAATTCTTTTACAGAACTACAGAGAATGGAGGGAATGGTAACAATGTGGTGATAGATATAGGTATGCTTCACACCAGAGGGTGCTGAAGAGCCTGAGCCCCTTCAGGCTGGAAGGAAGG